GAATACCCAGCACAGAAGTGTCTCACTGCACAGGAGAAGCAGGGAATATTTTTGACATATTTACTTCAGCAATACAGCACTCAAGTAAATGTGTCAAAAATGACACACCCAAACCAAAACACAGATACCCAAATGTGTTCAGGAGCAGGGAGTGATGGTAATCAACCCCTGGATATTTATGTGCCCTCAGTCCAGTCCAAAAGGAAATGTCTTATTATACAGGCACTGAAAGATCTTTTGAGAGTTGCTGACAACCTCCCTTCAGCACAGGTAGCCAAATATCTACATTAAAACAACAAGTTGGTTTGTCTTTAAAGATCACTGGGCCTAAAAGAAACTTAAAGTATTCCAAGTTCCACCTGCAGCTTTCAAAGTCTGCTTGAATTGCCTATGAGATAGATTCTCCTCAAATTCTCTCACTTAGATATTAAATTACTCTTTTCCTTAAAAACCCCCACTAGTCTTAGTTTCCCTATTCTCCAAAATTCTCTTTTTCACTAAAGCACAAATGCTGTACAAAGACAATCTGGCATTCAGGATTAGGTGGTGAAGAAAGCCCATTTAGACACAGAGGTATTGAGATAGTAACAGAAGATGTAGGAACTCAAAAAAGTTCATGTTCTTGAAGCAAACAATCAAACTGTTTTTCAGCAATAATCTCTCTCGATGTAGAAGAAAGTTCTACAACAGAAAAGATGAGTAAAAGGTGTGAAGGGTTTTCTTGTGTGTACACACACAATGCTGAGACTTTGTGCTGGGGAAAGGGGGGGTAATTCCTGCCGTGATATTCTCACAAGAACAAGATATAGAGATAAAAACACAGTCTGTAATACTTCAAGAAGCAGACTAAGCTATTGTAAGACTGAAAACATGTCAAATATTAAGTCTAACTGAAGAAGCTGGTATTGTACAGTACTTAGATGCAAGGAAAATACAAGAAAACAGAGGGGAAAAAAGAGATAAATTATATGACAGGTATTATAGCAAAAGCTGAATGTCCAGTCAAGCCAAATATGAGGGAAAAAGTGATAAATTGATTGCTACGTTAAAAAAAATTAAAAAAAGCCAAATATCTAGAATTAGCATGAAGAAATAATATTGTGATTATATTTATAAACATGCTCAGTTTAATTTTAGATCTATCTTCAATATAAATTCTTTTGGTATGCTGGAAAAGACAGAAGTTTTAGATTGTTATCCCCATTACCAAAGTAACTTTGTCAGAAAACACAGCACATGTAATTTTTTTGAGAAAATCTGTATTTGCTGGATTTTAATGGTATGCAGAAGAAAATTATTTACACTATACTACATCATGTCAAGGTCCCTCCTTTCTAATATTGTTATTAAAGAAAAAAAAATTCAAAAGATGATTCAGAAAGTCAAGTTCAGATCTATGTGTGCATCAACAAACTATAGATTAACCAGGACTGCTGTGTGCTGAAATTTGCAGTGGGATACCCTTGGAACCAACAATCTGCCTGTAAAGCCACAATTCCCAATGTAGAGTTCCTTGAGCAGAGAAACTTAATCCCCCCTTGATTTCCTTTCCTTGTTATCCCAGGGACCACACAGTTTTGAGTTCCTCCAAGAGGAATGCACTCAGAGACCCTAAATGCTCATCCTGCCACGTGAATCCTATGAACTGTCCCCAGAGCTCACAAGTCACCATGAACTCTCCTGTGCCTCCTCCCTCTAGGTGGTCACTGTGTCTTTACAGAGCCAGGTCCTGCACTGGTGTCTTTCAACAATGACCCCACTCCTTCCCTGATGGCCTTTTCCATAGTTAAGGACTGCTCCACCTGTATGAGGTGAATGGGCACAGTCAGAGGGCTCATCTTGCACAAAATCCACTTAATAACTGGGTTCTAGATCATGACAGACAGTTCCACAGTTGACACAGAACTAAAGAAACCCAACAAAAAGCATCCATGCATATTTCCCTTAAGCAGAACAGTCCTTTTGTCTGCCTTGCTAATCCAAGTGCCCAATATTTGGTGATGGTTTAGTGATGCTTCTTCTCTCTCCATAGCTGGATGTTGGCAGTGGGGGATCTCATGGAGTCAAAAGCATTTGTTTGGAGCTGTCACTTGGCCTCCCTTGGCTGCTGTGAGCTACATTCACTCACTGAGCAGCTTAGCAGCTTATCTCAGTTTTTAGTAAACAATGGTAAAAAATTCAGTTTTCTTCCTTTTCTTCGAGACAGTGATAAAAATCAGGGTGATTTCAAAAATCAGTTAATAACCTAAAGGAAAGAAAGAAAGAAAGAAAGAAAGAAAGAAAGAAAGAAAGAAAGAAAGAAAGAAAGAAAGAAAGAAATGGCAGAGCCTCTTTCAGGACCATGAGAAAGTAAGTTCATACAGCTCATCAGATTTCTTCATGGCATTCTGGGAGATCTCTTAGCAACAGTCCAGAAATCCATGTCTTCTGTCTCAGATAAAAGTGACCTAGACTAGGTAAATAATCTCGTTTATTTCTGAAATTGACACGCGCTAAATAGAAACATACAAAACCAGCTGAATGAGTCCTTAGGTTCAAATTTACAAGAGATGTATTTAAAGCCTTGCTACTGGTGAAGGGGAGAAATACTATTTTTCATTATCAAGCTTATTATTTGTGATCTTACACGTACACTATAGCCCATGCTCATTTCACTCAGATGCCTGGAGGAACATTTAGCTGACATTCAATTAGCAAAGTAATGCAGGGTGATAAAGCAGTAGGTAATTTACCATGTTCTGTTTGGGAGTATTCCTTATTGCCATTAATATTCACAATATCAGTTGTGAATATTTGCAGCCAGTTCCAAGGGAAAGCATTGCCCTTACCTAGAAGAACCAGCAATCCAAAACATTTGGATTACAAAAATATAGGCAAGAAACAGAAGGTCTGTAGTGACAGTTTCCTCACATCACATGGCTCCATTTAACAGGACGGGAAGGACAATAACAGTATCTAGAAAAGGAACTTGGTGCCACCTGGGAGCCCATTAAAGACACAAACTAAATCCCCAGTTTGCCTTGCACCAAGAATCTATCTCATCATACCATCAAACCAAGAATTTATCTCATCATAAAGGGGAGATCAGACTAGCATGGTCTCTGTTCATACCTGACACTGTGAAGTTAAAATAATTCAAAGTATTTCTGTACACTACTCACTGTGACTACTTCCAGCTACATGGCTGCACCAAGCATGTGCCATGAAGCATCTGGTCACATTTAAATTCATATTTAAATGAGTTCTTGCCCAAGATTTTTTTTTTCCCAGCTTCAATCTCTGAGAGAAGGTTCCTATGCAGCTCTGCTCCTCACTTATTCACTGTAAGCACGAATATAGGTCCTGACTATATTTTTATATGGGAAGAGAAGAAAACGACTGGAAACTGCTGCCTCTACTTGAGGCCTAACAGGCACCTGCACCACTAACATCATTCCCATACAGGCTGAGGCAGGGAAATTGTTTTGGCAAGATCCCTGCAAGCCTAAAACTGTCAAGCAAAGGTAAAAGCGTGGGAGGACTCCTCCTCCTCCCCTCCTTGTTGCCTGTGAGTTTACGTAGAAGCCAGGGAAGCAGATGGATGCCACAAGGGGTGCAAAGGATGCCTGGAACAACAGCACTGTCAGTGGGATTCGCACTGCATGGGAATGGCAAAATCCCTTCGCGACACCCACGCTCCAAGGGATCCTCCACCACTGGGGGTTTCGGGACCTCGGGCTCAGCGGTTTTGGACGAGGATGTCCAAAAGAGACAGCAGAAGCTACCAGCACAGCAAAAAATAAAAATTGTTGGTAAGATGAGCAATACAGTTGAAATAAGGGCTTTGCAGAGAGGATCAAACCCTGGTATTTGGCACACAGAATGAGCAAATCACAGAATCAGTAAGGTTGAGATTATCGAGTCCAACACCACTGAGGGCCACATCCAGTTTTTCCTTAAACACCTCCGGGCATGGTGACTCCACCACCTCCCTGGACAGCCCACCCCAAGTCTAATCACCCTTTCTATGAAGAAATCCCTCCTAATGTCCAACCTGAACCTCCTCCGGCACAGCTTTGGGCTGTGACCTGTCATCCTGGCGCTGACTCCCCGGCAGCGGAGCCCGACCCCCACCTGGCTGCATCCTCCTGTCAGGTAGGGCTGCCGAACACCCAAGGAAGAAAGACACACACAAGCTTTTGTAGTTTAAGAGAACAGGAGAACTGAGGCTCTTGCAATCAGTGCTGACGGTACATCCACAACCCACGGATCCCATCCATGCGAAGCACACGAGGCAGCCCCACAGAACGCACCCAGAGAGCGCCTCAGGCTCCCGGCTCCATCCCTGCTGCCACCGCTCCCAGCGCTGTCCCCGGCTGTGCTGGGAGAGCCCCACTGCCTTCAGAGCATCACGGAATGGTTTGGCCTGGAAGGGCACCCCGAAGCCCCTCTGGTCCCTGGGCAGCGACGCCTCCCGTCATCCCAGGTCGCTCCAAGCCCGCCCAACCCGGCCTTGGGATGGGGCAACCACAGCTTCACTGGGCAACCTGTGCCAGGGCCTCACCGTCATCACAAGGAGGAATTTCTCCCTATAATCGAATCCAAACGCGCTCTCTTTCAACGTGAGCCCATTCCCTCGGTGCTGTCACAACCCGCTCTCGTAAACATCCTCTCCATCACTCCCGTGCCGCCTCCCCGCCTCCCGCTCCGCACCGCCCGCGCCGCGGCCGCGTCCCCCGCTCCCGCAGCGCCCGTGCCCCGCTCTCAGCCCCGCACCTGCCGCAGCCGAGCCCGCTCCATACTCACGGCCGGCCCCGGAGCCGGCAGCGGCGGCGGGTCCATCCCTCCCTCCCTCGTCGGCAGCGCCCGGCGGCGCAGGCGCGCTGCCGCCTCCTCCCCCCGTGGCTGTGGCGGGGCGGCCGCGGCGGCAGCGCCCGGCTCCGCTCAGAGCCGAGCGAGCGCGGCTCGGGCCGGCGGCGGGAGGAGGGAGCGAGGCGAGCGGGGAGGCGGGGACCGGGCGAGGGAGCCGCGCCGCACACCCGGCCCGTCAGTGACCGGCGCTGCTGGGGAGGAGGAGGAGGTGGCGGAGGAGGAGGCGGCGGCGGCGGCGGCGAGAGATTCTCCCACCCCCACCCACCGAGCTGAGGTGAGGCCAGGGCAAAGCATCCTCCTTTCTTCCCCTCATCCCTTCCTCCCTTTCATCCTTCCTCCCGACCTCCTTCCTTTCATCCTTCTTTCCTTATCCTCCTTCCCCCTTATCTCGCCTTCCCCTCATCCTTCCCTGCGCTTCCTGGTCCTCCTTTCCTTTCTTCTCTCCTTAGCCACCTTTCTCCACTCCTCCCCATCCCCCAGGCTCCCTCTCCCCGTGCCCACATTTCGCACCCTCCAGATATAATAATCTTGCCTCCCCCCCCCACCCCGCTTTTCCTTTTTTAAATTTTTAAATTTTTTTAAATGCAATTTCAATTCTCGCGCAGTGAAAGACCGGGAGAGGGAAAGAGACGGAGTCGGTCACAGAGATAATCCCCCCTCCTGTAAAGAATGGATTTGAATTAATGGTCATTTTGTGGTGTGTGTATTATGGGAAGAGGTGGATTATATTTAGGGAAGAAAAGAAAGGGTCAAAGGTGTGGTTGTTTCACTTATTCGTCTATTTACCCGCCATCACTCCGAGGTGAAACCTGGCTCCGTATTATCTTAAGTATTTTTTTTTTTTTGGGGAGGGGGGTTATTGTTTGAAATTATTCTCCTTTCTTCAGGCGTCAGAGGCTCCTTCCTGCCTTTCCTCCATCCCCCTGTGCGTCCGTGTGGTTTGCAGTGGCTGCTGCTCGGATTGTGCGCGCCGGGAGCGGCGGGGAAGGGTCTGGGGGAGCGGGGCTGGGCGCTGGGGAGGGGGCGATGGAGGGGGCACCTCCTCCATCCTTCCCTCCAGGCCTTTCCCTGCCAGGGTCTGAGCCCTTCCCAGCCACCCGCTGCACATCCCAGCCAGCGCCCAGCCCCAGAGCTGCCGGCTCCCAGCGCAGGATCTGCTCCGCTGGCGAGGAGCGAAAGTTTAAAGCGTGGCTTTGTCTTTGCGAGGAGCCGTGGGGATGTTGGCTGGAAGGCGACGGCGGCCAAAGTGTCTCCTTGTGGGGCTCCTCGGAGTGGAAGAAGTTTTGCCCGGCCATGGTGGCGGTGCTGGGGAGCTGCCAGCCTTGCCTGGCTGCCGTGCCCATATCTGGGAGGTGGCATTTGGGATGCTCAGCGGGACATCCATGCTCCAGGGATTTGGGAAAGAAAACTTTTATACCTATTTACAGCAGGGTGTTGCCTGAGGTGGCAGGAGCTCCCTTCCCTGGAGGTTGGAGGGGTGAATGCCCTCCCTCGTGTGTCGCTGGCTGCGTGTGATGCCTGGGCTCTTTCTAAGGTGATGCTCTGTCACTTGGTGGTTGTGTCTCTCCTGTGGAGCATTTCTTTGATTGCGAGCGTGCTTCGGACAATTGCAGCCTTTTCAAACTTCTGATTGCTGAATTTGAAGTTAATGCATACTTCACCAGGATAGAAACGTTTCAGTCCCCTGTTATTTTAGAAATCCACAGATACCACAGCACCCAGTGCTACAGGACAGCTCTATAAGCCTGGATATTTAATGTGTATGTTATACATTGCCTTGGCATGTACTCCTGAAAAATGTTGGACTTGTCTAGACTGCTGTGAGTGCTGTGTGTGTTTTGGAGTGCCAGGTAGATGAGGAGCATCTCAGGTGAGGGGCAGGCTCCAACGATGCTGCTGATGCAAGCACCAGATTTTCCTGGCTTTGTGGCTGTTACAACGCTGCTGGTTTTCCTTTTTTACCTGTCGTGCCTGTGGTTGGTACAATGCATCGTGTCATCCTTTTCATACTCCAGGTCAAACAGGACTCTTTCTAGAGGAGGAAAAGTACTGATGTGAAGGGTGAAGTTCTGCACTCAGTTGTGTCAATGCTTGTTTACAGAAATACCACCTCAGTACAAGGTAGCTGTAATTCCATTAATGGGCTCTGCTGGGGACAGAAGCCTCAACAGGAAAGCTCCAGTGTCACTCGACATGGAAATACAACTGTAATTCATGCTGATGTCCTGAAAGCTCTTTTAATATTAATATCGAGCATGCATGGCACTGCTGAAATACCTTTGAAACATTGAAAACCAAGAGTATTTGTAGGCTGAGGCTTGAAAGCAAAGGAAGCAATTAGATCTCCTGCTCTGACCTCTTGACTGTTGTAGTCAGTTGGATTTCATCCAGTAACTCTTGAATGCAATAACTTGAATTTGGCTGAAACATGTTTTCCAGAAAAATTGGAATTTTGATCGGAAGACAGTAAGAGGTAGAGAATCTGCTGTTTATTAAGTTATTTGGCTTCAGCTCCTAGTCGTTGGTTAGTGCCTTTCTCCACTATGCTAAAGAACTCCAAGTATTTTCTTACCATGGAAGTATTTATCTGCTGTAACCCAAGCTGTACTGGAAAAACCAAGTGAACCGAAATTCTTTAAATTTGTCACTGCATGCATTTCCCTCACAACTCAGTTTCTGGGGTTTGTTTTTTTCCAAATCCACTTTTTCAGCATTTTTATGAAAACGTGAGCTGGATGCAGCATGCCAGAGCCTTGTCTCAGGAGTGTTTTGTGCATTTACATATTACCTCTGTGGTGTTACTCTCCTGCTTCTGCATCACATTTACATATTAAACCTTCATTTGCAGCCCTGCATTTTGATCTCCTTTTCTCTGGGTACTCTCACTGTGGCAAACCCTTTGCAGGACTGTTTCTTTCCACAAGAGTTCATCATTCCCTCGATTGGCATGTGTTTTCCTGATTGCAGCTTTATAACTTTATACGTGGCTTTTTTAAATAACATTTTGTTTCTAGCATTGATTGATTATACCCAACACTCCTGATGGCTTTTTGGAACTGATTTATCTCAGTTATGTAGCACTCTATCAATTTATTCTTGTGCAAATTATGTCATGATTTGTGGTGTAGACTTAACAAATAATTGAAAAGGTGTTTTGTGGTAGTGGCTCCACCTTTGGGGAACTCCATGCTAATCTGAGTTGTGTTGTGATGAGCTCTTCTCAAAAGCTGTTCTTTTTTCTTTTTGAGATGTCACTTAACCAGTTCTTCACCAGTTTAATTGGTTCTGTTTTGTTGTCAGACTCTCACAGAACACTCCACCAAGTGCCAGAGAAGTTTATACATGCAGACAGATATTTCTGCCAAGTGGAAGTATCAGTCGTATCAAGGAATTAAACCAAAATAATTTCAGAAAGTCAGCTTTCATTGTTTTCCTTCCTATGATTTATTACAGAGCTCTGACACATCAGTCGAGTCCCATATAATGTATGTTAAATTATTGTTTTGTTCAGGACTGCCATTGTTCTAACCTTCCTATGGCTCCAACCACTGTCTCACTGAGTCTTTCAGAGAGATGGTTGTAATGTAAGTGTTCATTCAGACTTCTGGAATTTCCCCAGGATTTTCAGAGTTCCTAAAAATCCATGCTAATAGGACAAAGAGCTCCTTGGACACTTCTGAGAGTGCTTCTCCATGGTGATCTTTGGTCCAGCTGACCAAAAATATTTTCTGCGAAGTAACACTGTTTTAACATTGTGTTTGCAATGAGATGGAAAAATAATTCATATTCCCATGAGGTATCAGTAAATCACCAACTTCTTTGCACATGCAGAATTACTTTTTGAATGTATCTGGCCTTTTGCACTATTGGTGTAGCTCAGAGTCCCTGTTTAGCACCACACCTGTGTGACAGCTGAGATTTCTTTTGTTCCTGCAGTTCCCCCCTGCTTTTTTTTCCTGCTGCCAAGGAATGTCTTCATCCTCACCTATTAGTTTTTTTACCCCTACTGTTTCAAAAAGTATGAATTTTTTATCCCTTAACACTTTTCTTCTTGTTACATATGAATTATAACCACAGTATTTATTGAAATGTGTTTTGTGGCCAAATTGTAGTAGTTATGACAATGCCTTGCAGGTATTACATGCTGTCTGAAGACAGCATGAGATTATATTTTTTTCTGTCTATAGCAACAGAAAGACGTTTTATTGCATTTTAGGTGAGCAGCTTTGCTTTTAGTGCAGCATATTCCATGGCTTGGCTAAAGAAAGCTGAACTCTTTATTCACTTGCTCCACAGTTTGTTCATAGGTGTATAAAGCAAAGGAATACTTTGAATTTAAATAGAACGTCAAATGGTCATGGAAAGATGAAGGGTAGCTATACAGAAATAATCATAAAATCACAGAATGGTTTGGGTTGAAAGAGACCCTTAAGGTCATCCAGTCCCACTCCCCTGCCGTGGGCAGGGACACCTTCCACCAGTCCAGGATGCTGCAAGCAGCAATGTCCAACCTGGCCTTGGACACTTCCAGGGATCCAGGGCAGCCACAGCTTCTCTGGGCACCCTGTGCCTCACTCACAGGGAAGAAGAAGTAAATAAATAATACACTATGCAGTTGGAAATGAGAAGGGCAACGTGCAGAAAGAGTAGCAGCACTAACCTGTTAGTGATTAGAGTGGCATGCTTGGGATATAACTTGATGGGAGGTTGTGTGGCTCAGGTCTGTAAGAATTGTTCCCTTCGAGCTGCTTTAGGTAAGATGCAGGAAGGAGATGTAAAATAGACCAGACTGGGAAGGGTGAAAGTTACAAAAAGAAAGTTGTATTTGACAGGAGGGTGAGAGCTACACCTGACTAAGATAAACTTGTTGATTTCCTGTAAACACTACATTTGTTGGGATGAAGTGCTCTGAGAACATTGCTGAGGCACAGCTTTCCAAGGCTGCTGCAGGGAGCAGGAGCAGCTGAGGCTCTCGTTCCTCTCTGGAGCTCCAGTTCTGATGGGTGAGATCCTCCAGCTGGATCAACAACACCTGAACCTGCCTGAGAGCAAACTGCTGCTGAGTCCAGCCTGCCTCCAGCAGTGTTGGAAAGTAAAAAGACAGGATTTTTTTAAAGACTACTATAGGCAAAAAGTTGAAGAAGTGACAACAAAGACCAGAAACCAGGTTTTGTCCTGTATAAAAAAAGTGGTTGGTAAGTAAGTTAATAACATTGCTAGCTCTGGTGCTGCCAGTGTAAGGACATGGAGCTGTTGGAGCAAGTCCAGAAGAGG